TTAATTTCTTAGGTGTGATAATGGTAGTTCTGAATATTTGTGTTCTTCTGCTGGTAAATTTTGTAGTCACTCGACTGAATTCCTTGTCCCCCCCCCCATTGCATTGCATTCCATGGATCCAGAGTTAGTCAAAATGAGTGTAGGATGTGGAAAATGTCATAAAAATACCAAACATATGTACAGTCCCAATGGAGTTCTCACGCAAGAGAAACCAAGAATACACAAGGCTATTTAAAGATACATAAGTTATCTTCTAGACAATAGGTATTCCTCAACAGAGTAGAATGAATGTGCATTTAAGTATCATTTAAGTGATATTTTAAATCGTGCCTTTTCATTCATAAGACCTTTGAGATCAGATGGCACGTTATTAAAAGTTTTGATCCCAACATTATATGCGCTTTTCTGAAAGCATGAGAGGTTAGCAATTGGTTTATGAAGACAATGTTTGTGTCTTGTGTTAACACTGTGTACATCCGCATTCGTCTGAAAATGTTCGTTATTTGTAATGAAGTTTATTAATGAATACACTCAACACTCGATTATCCGGGATAATGGTGGGGATGGAAATCACGATTAATCGAAAACCCGGCTAAGACAAATTTTATTAAAAGTAGTACTGTAATACTGTACCTTCATAATACTATAGGCCTACCTGTATTTAAATTTATTCAACCTCATTTTTATGTCATCTCATGGCCTATTTAATACCTTTTTTTGCATTACACTGGAGTATGAATTAGTTACTTCAGTCATAGTGTTCAACAACATCCAACACTTTTTACGAATATTCACACTTAACACTTAAAAAAATTTAATATTGTCATTTGCTTTTTCGCGGCATTTTCCTTTTTACGGATATCCGAATGAAGCCTACATAATATTAGCTTGTCACTTAATAAACTGTTCTCTTCACTCTCAAGATAGTCTAGTAAGGATTCCAAATGATTAAGAGCAGCACCATGTGATATTTTCTTACTAGCAGCACTGTCCACCTCTTCCTCATTCTCACTTTCTTCCCGCTCTTCTGGCTGCACCCCCACTGAACTTACGGTTTCACCACTGCTTAACATTTCGAAGCCCAGCTCATATGAGTTTCTGTTGAATACTTAACAGAACACGCTTCCTTTCACACCCTGACGTTTTGCTAACGCACTTGAAGATCAATACAAAGAGACTAACTGGGGCGATGTATCTGTCCTTGAAACTTTCCACAAATCCTTGCATTCTTTCACCCCTACCATAGAACATTGTGTTAGCATAACAGGACAAAAAAATGCAGAGCTGGTTCACACTAGTGCGAAAACAGTGTTACAACTCACAATGTGAAACAAAAGTGAATTAATATTAAACAACCAATAAGCCTCAAAAAA